CCAAAAATTGAAAATAGAGAACTACCCAGCAATTGCACGACTAGGCATTGATCCACGGGATACAGGTGTGCTGTTTCGAAGGGGCACGTGCACCCCCATGTTTATAGCAGCACTATCGACAATAGCCAAAGTGTGGAAAGAGCCCAAATGTCCATCGATGGATAAATGGATAAAGAAGATGAGGCATATATATATACAGTGGAGTATTACTCGGTAACACACCCTGACCTGCCCAGAATCTTTTCCCCTCTGTCTGCAATCTTGTGCTCTTTTCTTCTTGGCTTGTCTGCTACGGTCGCCACGTGTTAAGTCCTTGCACAAACAGCTTCCGCCCGCTATTGCTGAGCTGTCTGCCCCCACATCTGTAGAGGAAATACTGGCAACTCCATCAAAAATCTTTGGGGAACAGCCGGGGCACCTGGGGGGCTCAGCCGGTTGAGCGCCCGACTTCCGCTCAAGTCTTGATCTCTCGATTCGTGCGTTCGAGCCCCACGTTGGGCTTTGCGGGAAGCCTGCTCCCGGGATTCTGGCTCCCTCTGTCTCTGCCCCTCCCCTACTCAGGCTCTCTCTCAAAAAATAAATATAAACATTTTTTTCAAAAGGGTTTAAAAAAAAAAAAAAAAGCTTTGGGGAATAGCTGACAAATCCTTTCCGGATGGAGACCTTTTCTCCTAGGCAAAGAGGCTCCCACTTCTCCGTGCAGAAGCTGGAGAACGAAGCTTCCCTAATATACCCACCCTATCAGTCAGCCCTGCCCTCCCTAAGCAGGACCCTTCCTTTTTCCGGTTCCTCAATGACACTCATCAGAATATCTTTGTATCCACAATAGCATGGAACCTTCCACTTTATTCTAATGTCCACTCTGGCTAACGAGCTTAGCACTGGCCAGAAAAACCAGGCTAGCTGATAAATCTCTTAAATAATAATGAACGTTAACTCAGACTTAGCGAGCCATTTATTCACTCGAACTGCTAATTTAATAACGACTCCACGCATTTATCTTTGTTGCTAGGCTATTTATGGCCTATCCAGCAAGAATTGAAATTGAAATTTAATTTATAACAATTGGCTTTCTTTTCAACAGCACATAAAATATTTGGCTGGGTAGACAGACCCCGTACCTGAAGCTATAGGGGGGATCATAAAGTCAGAGGACAATTTAAGCTTATTGAAAACTAACCGCAACATCGACACTTGAAAGATTTTAAATACGTGTGTGAGGTTGTGATATAATAAGAAATCTAAATTTGGTCTTCGTCCCGGGTTCCTGGCACAGAGCTCATAAAGCCCTTGGAATTTCCTGAGTGACACGGATAGGAGGAGTGTTTGTTCTCATTCATAATAAGCCCCTTTCAAGCAGACTTGAATTGATGCCTAATAAAATGACTCTGGGGGGCACCAGTCGGGACTAGAAGATTGGAACCTTCAGCCCATCCCCCACCTCTGGAGGGAGAGAGGGACCGGATTGAGTCAATCACCAATGGTCTGTGATTTCATCAACTGTGCCTACCCGTCGGGGCGCCTGGGTGGCTCAGTCGGTTGAGCGTCCGACTGTGGCTTGGGTCATGATCTCACAGTTCGTGAGTTTGAGCCCCACACGGGGCTCTCTGCTGTCAGCGCGGAGCCCGCTTCGGATCCTCTGTCCCCCTCTCTCTCCGCCCCTCCCCCACTTGTGTGCGCTCTCTCTCTCCCTCTCTCAAAAATAAATATTAAAAAAAAAAAATCGTGCCTACGTAATGGAACCTCCATAAAAGTCCTAAACAAAGCGGTTCAGAGAGCTTCTGGGCTGAGGAATACGAGGTGCTGGGATGGGGGTGCACCCTGAGAGGGCAGGGAAGCTCAACGCCCCTTCCCACATTCCGTGCCCTGCACAACTCTTCCATTTGGCTGTTCCCGAGTTTTGTCCTTTATAACAAGCCAGTAATAAGTAACAGTAAAGTGTTTCTCTGTGTTCTGTGAGCCAGGATAGCAAATTCGCAAACCTGAGGAGGGTACGGTGGGGACCCCTGACTGGCCGCTCCATCAGACCGAAGCGTGGGCAACCTCGGGACCCACTACTTGGGACTGGTGTCTGAAGTGGGGGACGGTCTTGTGGGAATGAGCCTTTGACCTGTGGGGTCAGCAAGGCCTCCAGGTAGTTCGCGTCAGAACTGTACAACGTGAGGGGGGCACCCACGCATGTGGTGTCCGAAGTGTCCTGCGGGTAGAGAAATAGTGTCTTCCTTTTAACGTGTCGTGTTAGTTCTTATTTGGACAACCAGAATAAATACAAGAGATGCTAGTAGTTAAACTTCTGGGCTTCAAAACTCTTCCTTTGAAAATTCTGAAAGAGAGGAAATCAACCCAGCGTCCATGAGGACTCAAATGGATTCACTCTGAGAGGCGAAGGTCAGAAGCGACCGCAAGGCCGCGGGGAGCTGGAGTCACGCGGAACTTCGTTGTCCACCCCTCTCCCTGCAGAGGAAGGGATTGAGGCACGGGGAGTGGGAGCGATTTGCCCAGGATCACACAGCTGGGAGGTGACGACTCGGAAAAAACGCGGGGGTCCCAGCCCTGAACCCTCGTAACACATTGGCGTCACACGATCCCAGTTCAGAATGGCCTTCTGGATTTGGCAGCTGCCAGACTTCCACACGTGGGCCACAGCAGAGAACACTCACAATATGGAACCGGATACCGCCCCCCTCCTTTTTTCAGGCCGAACCAGGCCACTGTGGGTGAGGGAAGATTGTTGAAATTTAAAATTTTATTGTGCAGGGGGCGCCTGGGTGGCTCCGTCGGTGGAGCGTCCGACTTCGGCTCAGGTCATGATCTCGCGGTCTGTGAGTCGGGCTCCGTGCTGATGGCTCAGAGCCTGGATCCTGGATCCTGCTTCGGATTCTGTGTCTCCCCCTCTCTCTCTGCCCCTCCCCCACTCACGCTCTGTCTCTCTCTCTCTCTCTCTCTCTCTCTCTCTCAATCCTACCTCCATCCTCCTTCCTACCTACCCCTTGCCTATTCCAACACCTCCGTTGCCAAATCCCCAAAACCCCATTATTCTCACTCAGTTTGTTGGCCTTAATCAGGACGAAAGGTTAGTTCGTTCCTGAAAGAAGGGCCTTTCTCGGCTCCAAGGAGTTGGGGGTCTTCAAACGTTACGTGGAGACAACAGTCTCACTAGGACCTACCCAGCCGAGACATCACGGTCACGTCCTCTTCGGTGCAAGAATCAGGGACACACACTCCCACGCTGTATGCAGCTCCATCCTGAAAAACACGAAGCCACAACGTTCTTTCGTGTTGGTGCTCGTGACACATGCACACGATCATTTCTAAGGCTGCTGTTGTGCTGCCCAAGAATTAAGATTAGGACGGGGGGGAGACAGGTGTCGAAAGACGTGTGCTGACATCTTTGGAGATGGTTTCCCCATTACAGGGTGGTTGGAGTAAACCTGCAGAAGGTCAGATGCACTTGTATTTACATCAAAGTACGCAGCTGATTAGTTTAAAAGCCGCCACCAGTGCGGGGTAATCCGCCCCCCGTTCACCTCTCTCCCACAGGGCAAACTGTCCTAGGGGTCGACGGTCCTTAGGATTTTCAACAGAATTGCCACGTGGCCATCTCTTTGTAACAGGACACAGCATATCAAATAAAGATTTTATTCATAAATCAAGCCCATGATGAGAATGCCTGTCCCAATGAAGGAAAGATCAAATTATAAATAAAAATTTCTGGCATGCTGCTTCTAAACATGCAATTTACATGATTGCATGGGCCTGGCCTTTGGCTCTGATATCAAAACCATTAATCTGCTTCGAAAATAGGACGTGACATTTGTACACGCTGATTAAACCCTCAAGCAATCATTGTCACAGCCCTCCGGGGGACAAGTGGGTGAGAATCTCTCGATGGCCAGTGCTCAACCATTGCAAGACCGTTTTATAGCATTAATATCAGAAAGCGTGGATTTCTTACTGCTATTTTATATGACTGTTTTTAGCCAACGTGTATTTTCTTCTAGTGTCGTACAACATCATCAAGCCTATTTTTGTATCGAATAAGAGGCTGTGCTGTCCCTGGTTTTATTTTCCAGCAGTGGAAGAATTAACATGCCTTGCAGGGAGTGAGCCCTGTGACCTCAGTCAACTGATGTACTGATGTGTTCACAGAAGTCCAGGCCCGTCTCAAACACATGTCTCAGAGCTCTGTTTCTGGGACAGGATTATGGGTAATGGGAAGTCTTCCCTCCCTTTGGTATTCCCCAAACAGATGGTGAGTCAGGAGTTGATGGCCAGAAACATCCGCTGGGGCTTGACCTTGGATTCCTCATGAAGGTCGTCCAGAAGTCTTGCCCCCGTACAATATGGCGGGAGGAACATCTGAAGGTCTGTGTGGAATGCGGACAACTGCCCTCCTATAGTGTCGCACACTCAGAACATGCGGGTGCGATTTAGGTGTAACTTTTTGCAAAACATCGTAATAGATTTGGGGGGTGTTTTGTTAAGGAAAGCAATCGACGGAGCTGTCTGGGGTTCCCGGTCACGAAGTTCAGTTGTCCTTGGAGAGCACGAGGGCAGATCCCGCACTCACCTGCAGGATCTGAAACTTGCAGTACTGTCCTTGGAAGCGCCCCGAGGGAGCCCGGGCGGAGAGGCACTCGCTGTACGATCCCAGCCTGTCCACGTTTCCGTTAAGAATATTGCTCCCAAGCTTCCCGACCGAGTCATACACTGAATTTCAAAGCAAAAGAAGTAGGCAAGGTTAGCTTCTTCGTGTCACTTTCAAATGAATTTACAGGCACTCAGCTCCGCCTTCCAGAACCATCAATCTGAGATGACAGGGG